AGCTCTAAATTCTCTTTAATATATTTCGCTGTATTTGATTTGGGAATAGTTATGACTCCCCTCTGGACCTGATATCTCAGGGCTACCTGAGCGGCCGACACGTTATGGCTCACCCCTATCTCCTTGAGTTTGCCATCTTTGAGTAGATCCGGGTCAGTATACCCACCCAACGGACAATACGCGGTGAGCGTTATGTTATGTGCCCTCAAATACGACAACAGCTTAGTCTGCGTTTCGTAGGGATTACTGACGCACTGATTGGTGACGGGAACGACACCTTTGCCCTTCAGTTGATCCAATTGACTCTCAGCGAAGTTGGACACACCTATCGATTTGGTGAGCTTGGCCTGTAGGACGTCATTCATGCCCAGCCAGGTCTCCGCGATTGACACGTTGACCGGTTTCGTTGAGCCGGGTTGGTGTACGAGAAACATGTCCAGGTAGTCGAGGCCCAGGTTAGCCAGGGAGGCCTTGATAGCAACAGACACACTTTTGCGCTCATGATCCTCCGGCTCCAGCTTACTCACGATGAACAGGTCCTCCCTCTTAATGTGACCCTCTTTGAGCACATCCTTCAACACCTTTCCGATGATCGTCTCCATCGACACCTTTCCCGAGGCGTCCACATAGCTGTGCGATGTGTCAAAGTGTCGGTACCCGTCGGCCAGGGCCTCGCGTACGGCCTCTTCGGTTGCGTGACTCGTACCGAACCCTAGGATTGGGATTTTTTGGCCATTATTTAGTAGGACAGTAGGTATAGTCACATCCGCACTCATACAAGTGCTCGCAATGCAAGCTAACAGTACGAGTGATTTAAACATTTTTAAAAATAAACTGTTCTTACTAACTTTCAAATTGCAATTGTCTTTTTATTTTATAGGTGCCTGCTTATATATAATGATCGTATCTATAGATCATTGGTATCCGGGACTGTAAAAGTACTTGAGTACCAAGACCACTTATGACATTGATAAAGAGTATCGTGTTCATTTTGTATTTTATAATAACGTTGACTATTATAGTTATATTTCACTAATTTAATTGTACAGTATTTGTTGTAGACATAGCTATAAGATATTAGTATTTTGAAAAATAATAGTTTACTATTGGAAAATCTATTTTAGGGTTTAACATGCTTTTCTTATAGGGATTATGAAAACATTATAAAGTTTTAATATCGTAATATGGTGTTGTTCAAATAAAAAATGTATTATTAATTTTTAGAGCATTTTAGAGCATTTTAGAGCATTTAAGTGCATATAATACGAGATACCTCTACCTGTATTGTGTTAATCAATTACAAATTAATCTGTTATTAAATACAGTACACTCATATTGATATGTGAAACTACACACTATTTATTATACTGTATTAAACACTATTGGAAATCAATATCACTTTAAATATAGCAAGCATGATATGAGAAATGTACTTTTAAAACCACTTTTTACAAAAATTATATAAATACCTAAATTATATTTATTAATAATTAATTAAATAAACTGATGTCAGTGAGATCATTTTCAAAAAATTGTAGTTCAATTAGAATGGTATAGAATTATGATTATGTTAAAATTTAATTAAGCATGTAGATTTAATAAAATAGATAAAATG